TATTTGCAAATCACCAAAATTAGAAACACTTCACATTTAACATTCAAGTTAATTAACGTACATTCAGCAAATTCACTTTAACCACATGTGCTAAAACATTAACTCTTAAATGTGAAACTAATATTAAAATACACTTTAATCCATTAACAGGCGAACTACACACACAGCAATGTCCATTAACCTTTAAATCAGGCACAACAAGTGAGAACAGATTTGTCACTTTAGAATTAATTAACATTTTTTGTCTTTGGTACTCACTGCCATCCACCAAACACTTTGGAACAGTTATCTTCTCTCGACCAGTTCATTAAATCGGTCCATTCGCTGAAACTTCGCTTTAATCTTGATCCGTTAAGTGAACAATCACACTGCCCCCAACGAGCGCGCCAACATTAAAGTTCCTTCACCATCCATGGCGTTCATTGAGCAGCACAAGGGATCGACGATGGTAAGCTCTTACTGTAGCTTCCTGGCTTAAAAAATGTTGGACTCTTCAACTGATGATTCATAATGAGCTTTATTAAAGATCCGTCACCGTAGATTTGTGGTAATCACCGTTAAATGCCATAAGACATCACAAATCACCGTAAGAGCTTTGTATAAAGAAAACAAACACAAAACATAATATAAATAAACCTTGAAACAAACATACATCAAATACAAATACAACAACGATTTAACACACCTAACATCATACAAACAAATAACCATTACTACATTAAGAGAAATCCAAAACAATACAGATAACAAAGTCAATATTTTACCTTATTCTCCATTTAAACCAGGAGCTAAATCCTTGAAGTTCTCTTTAACCGTAAACCTTTGAATGAATCGACCATGTGCGTCTTAGTAGAATGCTTTAAGCACACCGCAATATCCGCTTACATGGATGAATGTCAAAATAAAAGACTTTGTTACCACAAGACGTATAAACTAATAAAAACCCAGAAATCCAACAATTAAACATGATACACATTCAGAATGGACAACGTAATAAATCATTTAAAGAATATCAAATAAAAAAATAAAAAAATAGTATAAAAGGAAATAACAACCAAATCCTTAACAACTATTAACAATATTGTTTCTCCTGCTACATCTCTTGTCCCTGTGCTTTCTAAAGATGATTGCAATCATTTTTGTCTCATTTTGTGGACAAGGTTATGGCTGTCAGGGCAAGCTTTGCACCATCAGCAAACCCTCTTATAGTTACTCGACAAAGACTGTCAATTTTGGACTCTTTTTGCCCCATTTCCCTAAATGACATCCTTAAGTTAGTGGGTATGATGAAACCTTCTCAAAGCTCTGTGAATATTTCGCCTTAATCGATTAATCGATTACATTTATTGGCCCGTGCTTGGTTTCAATTATCTCTTAGGCTGGGCCAGGTCCCTAGGTGTTTTAAACATGCCATTGTTCAGCCTCTCTTGAAAAAAGAGTAATATTTATGCAACATCATTTAACAACTATAGGCCTATTTCTAAACTGCCATCTCTAAAATCTTAGAAAAGGTTGTGGCAATGCAGTTAAATACTGTTTTGGAGGCTCATAATATATGTGATAAATTTCAGTCTGGCTTTCATAAAAACCATTCAACTGAGACTGCCCTCCTTAGGGTCTCAAATGACATTTTGATGGCTGCTGATGCAGGTGAATGTTCTGTGCTGGTTTTGCTAGATCGCAGCGCAGCGTTTGATACTGTTGATCACTGCACTTTGATTAATAGATTGTATTCTCTAGTAGGCATTTCTGGATCAGCTCTGGACTGGTTATCCTCCTATCTTTCTGACAGGAGTTTTTCTGTGTCCATAGGAACTTACAGGTCAGACTCTGTTCCTTTGTCCTGTGGTGTGCCACAAGCTTCTGTGCTTGGCCCTCTGCTTATCAATCTGTATATGCTTCCTCTTGGCAAGATTATTAGTAGTTTCAAAATAATATCTTATCACTGTTATGCCGATGACATCCAATTATATATTTCTTTTAGTTCTGATAGACTAAACAAACTGTCCCTTTTGCAGAATTGTCTAGTCTCCATTAACAAATGGATGGCAGATCATTTTCTGCAACTAAATACTGATAAAACTGTGATGATTTTTGCCCCTGACAACATTACTCCTAAGATTATTGGCAGGTTATTGGGGGTCTATCATCTTCTGATTGCAGTGACATTTGGGTGTCATTTTTGACAGATCTATATATTTTAACAGTTGCGTAAAGTCTGTAGTTTGCTCATGTTTTTTCCATCTTAAAAACATTGCAAAGATTAGATCTATGGTTTCAAAAAAGAGATGGAGATGCTTGTTCATGCCTTTATCTCTTCACGGTTGGACTACTGCAATGTTCTGTACACTTGTTTGAACAAATCCTCTATGGTTCTATTGCAAGTTGTACAGAATTCAGCTGCAAGGCTTTTGACTAGAACCAGCAGGAGGTCACACATTACCCAGTGCTTAAGGCCCTGCATTGGCTTCCCATTGGTTTTAGGGTGCATTTAAAAATTTTAGTCATTACTTAGAGAGCCCTGCATGGTCATGCACCTTCTTATATCCAGGATCTATCCCCTGGCCGGCCTTTGAGGTCTTCTGGCGTAGATCTTTTAACTATTCCCAGAACACGCCCTAAGACAAAAGGTGACCATGCTTTTTGTGTTGTGGCTCCAAGGCTCTTGAACTCTCTCCCCTTAACATTGAGAACTATGGGTTTTGTAGAGTAATTTAAAAAACACCTAACACATCTTTTTGGAAAAGCTTTTAAGGGAGTTAACTAGTTAACTGAGGTTCGGGAGCGAGGCCACGTCTCTACCAATCACCTCACTTCCCGAATCCTTCATATATCGGGCCGCCTCATACCGCGCTGTTTGTCTTTTTCTCTCGAACGACAGACGGACTTGCCTGGTCCAGACGGCGTTCTGTTCGATTCAGTGCCACTGCTGCTGTGTTCACATTGCACGATGGATCGGCGACAGGAGGTTACACACTGCATGACTTTACAATAGGAAGAATCGCCGACAACTCTGTCTGGTCTGTAAACTATGTTCCATATGACTCCTTCCCGAACTTCCCGCTGCCTTGTATCTTGCTCTCTCATTGGCTGTAGGTCATCGCCGATGTATTTTTCAGTCAGAACTCATTTCAGACTCATTTTACACAGCAGGATTTTGAATCACCCACAGGTCCAGATATTTAGCATGACAAATATTTCGCCGATTCTCTATGATTGCGTCTTTGATATTTCACACTGCGTGATATGTCACTCGCATGAACGATTTGCCTCCGATTTTGGACAGTTGTTGGCAATTTCACAAAACCTGTCAGCGAGTGAAAATCGGGGCTAAAATTGTGCAGTGTGTGGCATAAGCGTAAATGAAAACTTCAGAAGTGTAAAACTCCAATGCATTTGTAAGTCCAGATCGGCGAAAGAAAGAGTAAAAAACAGTGAGCAAAGCATGCAGTGTATTTAAATAGAAAGTCAAAAATTTGCCTGTGATTTATTTATTTTTTTTCAGTTTCGAAGACATTTTATTTATTTCTCAGTTTAGATTTTATTTGTTTCTTGAGAAGTTACGTTCAAAATTAATGTCACAAATCTGATTCATATTTTAGCTGTATTTTAAATTATGCCTTTCATTTTGTGTTTTAGGATTACAGGAAATGTCTGTAAACTTATCTGACAATGTCCTGGCAGAAAATTAGCATTACCTTTTCCATTTTTCGACATATTTCTACTTAAGTGATCAACAATTATAGGTACAAGCTAATAATAATGTGTATCATATAAACAATTATTATTGAACAATGCAACTTAATTCACATGTGATATGTGTATTGCTAGGCATCTTTCTCCAGCTCTCTTCAAGCTGATATGCTGCTTGGCTGGCTAGCTAATCAGTGGTTTCCTCTTTTTGTGTGATTTAGAAAAAAAAATGAAGTGGGTGGACTTTTACCATTATACACACTGCTAACACAATCATGTTCAAATAGCATATAAAAGTGAATTTTGCATAATAGGTACCCTTTAAAAAATTATATTGCAATTTCAATAAAGTTTCTAGCTCATGGACCCAAAAATGAATTGTAAACTTAGAAACCAGCACATTTTTTGCTCACTCCAGCCCCACCATTAGCCTCACAGGCACTAGTCCTGCATGTAAATCATTGCTATTGCTGAACATATGCTAATATAAAACAGAGAACAGGACCATGCCAGGGCATTTTCCAGGATTTCCAGGATCTGGGACGAAGGCCAAAACATCAGTGGCTTGTTGAAGGTCTGACAGATTAACATTTGATATCAGCAAAAATTATTTTTCAAGTATTTTTGAGATTACCCAGATCACCTCAGATGTGGTTCTGTATTAATGAAGTAAATGAACATCTGGGTATGATGCCAGTGCTTGTTTGTGCCTCTATTTTCTCCCTCCTTTCTCTCACCATATGGTCCATTCCTGGAAGTAAATAGGTAGAGGTTAACATTACTTGCTTTCTGTCTCACACATATAAACAATAATTATTATTAGTATTGCTCAATGTTGTAATGCTTTATGGTCTTGTTTGACTTGAAAATATCTAAGAGATGACTGTATTTCAATAATTAAGAGCCTGGCGAAAGGAAAATTATTTCTTTGTGATAACAGGTAAACAATATAAAAGTCTCAGTCCACCTACTGTCGTAACATTGTAAATGGTTCAGGCTTATAAAAATGAGGTATTAATTGACATAAAATGTATTAGGTAAAAACATTGGGACATTACAGTGAAAAGCATGATAAGTGTACAGTGTTATGATGAGTTGTACAAACACAAAGTTTTTGGTTTGACTCTGTTTTGGAATGGCTATTTAGCAGCTAGCTTTGTTTTAAAATTTTACAAAGCAACTTTTTAGATTTTAAAGCTGAATATCTGGCCATTTATGGTGTCAGATGTCCAAAAGAGCATCCACACCACGACTGATTAATAGTATCCATTAATGTATCCATTTGTTCCAACTGTCTTTTTGAGCAGGTTTCTTCAGAACAACATAATTCAGATGGTCTCAAGCCGTGCCTTCAGTGGACTATACACTCTAGAAAAACTGTAAGTTCTTCTTTTTTCTTATCTTTCACTTCAGATCATCTTTTTTAAAAGATTATAAATATTGACTCAGTTTTGGTGTTACTGATCAGTGCAATTTTATTAACCTTTATTAGAATCTGCTCCTTCATGAAAAGAGAGTGTGTGGTCATGAGATTTTATATATATATATATATATATATATATATATTTGAGGCATTTATGGTACTTTTTATTATTTATTTGCCTCAAAGTTATTCATATTTTTTAGTGCTGGACAACGATTAATCACAATTAATCACATCCAAAATAAAAGTTTTTGTGTACATAATATATGTGCGTGTACTGTGTATATTTATTATGTATATAAATACACACACATGCATGTATATATTTAAGAAAAATATGTTATGTTTATATATTAAATATATTTATTTATATATAACAAATTATATGAATATAAATATATACATGGAAATACATGGAAATATTTTCAAATTTTTTAATGTATAATATTTTTATATAAAATGAAAACATTATATGTAAAATTCACTTTTGTTTATTTTTACTTATAGAGATAATTCATGGTAAATTTGCCATGCGTAAGTGGAATATTTCTGCCAACTGGTGGAAAACACACTATTAAAAATTAAAATTAAAATGTCATGATAATTCCACTATATCCAATAGATGGCAGAAGAGGATCACTCATTGTCACGTTTACCATTTCCACTCTGCAATATAGTTCTTTTCACATGTTTTGCTTTTGGATTTATACTTAGAATCATAAAATCACTATTATAACATTTACAAATCATCTTTTTGTCAAAGTTCAGCGTTGTTTTGTACTGAAAAATGGAGTAGCAAAAAGTAAAAAAAAAACTCATCGGATTTACGTGAATAACACAAATGGCCTATTTTGAATTCACAATGGGACTTTTCAGCGAAAGCTGACTAGTTTTTCATCCTTGTTAACCGTCTTCTCAGTTTCTCTCAAATGTAAATCAAACGCTTATTCATTCACAAACATATCATAACCTTTTATTTTAATTTTTTGAGCAATAGAGATACTCAGGAATGAACTGATATTATCATTATTCACTTTGCCCCTTTAGGCAACAACGTTAAATGTTGAATGACTTAATGACTTACAATGAAAAAAATAAATAAATAGGTTAAGCTTACCAGTCCCTGTTCACTTGGACATCGCTGTCCTCATTTTAATGCATTGTTTTTCTTTTCCTTTTCTTTTCTATTCTGCACCCCGAAACGTTCATTTTGGTCATGTGTCTGGACAGTGACAGTAATGTGTTTGAAGGCTGAGCGGTTGATATGTACTCAGTTTATAATAAATGCATTTTTGAACTCATTAAAAATCATTATTTTTAACAACTGATTATTTATAACATTTTAGATGATTTCCACAAAAAGATTTTGGCAAAATGGTGCACTGCATATACTGCATACCCCATTTTTGTGCCATTGTTTGAATATTGAACAATGTACCACACTTGCACGAGATTGTGGCATGATAAATGATATTTATTTCTTCTGTTATTGCTTTAGGTGTGGAGCACAATGGCATCTTTGGGCTGTAGATCTCTTTCTGTTTGTGGGGCCAAATGGGGACTGGCTAATTTTTTAAAGGGGTCATATGATGCGATTTCAAATTTTCCTTTCTCTTTGGAGTGCTACAAGCTCTTGGTGCATAAAGAAGATCTGTAAAATTGCAAAGACTAAAGTCTCAAATCCAAAGAGATATTCTTTATAAAAGTTAAGAGTCAACCACGCCTACCTAAAATGGCTCGTTCTAACACGCCCCCACATGTCTAAGTCACGATGTGGGAAGATTTGCATAACGCCGCCCAAATGTTCACGCAAAGAAAGAAGGCGTAATTTTATTCTTGCTGTAGTATTGTTGTTAGTAACCGCCATGTCGTGAAGACGCTGTGTGTTTCGTTGTGAAAGCGAAACTACTTTGTTTGGCCGTCCAAAAGAGGACACGACTAAAAATCAGTGGTTAAGTTGTATTTGTATTTGTCATTTCTCCGCTCACAAATGCAGACATGGTTTTATGTTTACGCGGCCGGATCGGCTTTCACTGTGGACGAAGTGGAGTCCAGCCCGGGGTCGTCACATGTGGTTGCCGCAAGCCCGTCCGCCCACTGCGCTGTTCTCAAGCCCACCGGCCTCTGCTCACTTTAGCCCGCCGTGTGTGACGCTGTGTTTCGTTGTGAAACGCTCCGGCCGGGACAAGGCATCACAATATGGCAAGGGGCGTAACATTTCCGTCACACGCTTGAGGTATTCGGCCAATCACAACGTACTGGATAGCTGGCCAATCAGAGCACACCTCGCTTTTCAGACCGATGAGCTTTGTAAAAATCGCGCGTTTCAGAAAGGTGGGGCATAGAGGAGAAACAATAATGTACAGTATGTGGAAAATAATGTGTTTTTTGAACCTTAAACCGCATAAACACATTTCATTACACCAAATACACAAAATAATGTTCTTTTTAGCAACATCATATGACCCCTTTAAGGCGGTTTGAATGAGCTCCTTGCGACTAGAATATAGTAATTGTCTTTCCTTTTCAGCAGCTTTTTGTTTTTTTTCAGAGATTGTTTTGGTTCCAGAAGTGATGAAGGACAAGCCTAATCCCGAGATGATGAAGATATATGATGTTGTATATCATTAGGGAAAGTCCACTCTGGATGATAAATGACATCTTTCACAGTTTTGTAGGAATTACAGTCTTTTACCTTGGCTTTTCTGTTCCAATCTGTTTTTAGTTCATTTAAAAACATCTCAGAAGCAGCACAGTGTGAGACAGAAATGCGTTTTACAGTGCTCATATTCATTTGGATTCCTAATAGGGCAATTTATTCTTTTTATGTCTGTAAATCCATCCTTTGGACAATTTAATACTTAACCTTTTTAATACTAAATCTATTTCTATCAATTTCAAGTCTGTGTCCCTAATTAAACATTGTCTTTTGTGCAGGTTTCTCAGCCAAAACCACATAACCTATTTAGGACCAGGTGTATTCAGAGATCTACACAAATTAGACTGGCTGTGAGTATGTATCGCATCACATTTAATGAGCTAGAAAATGGAAAATTGATTTTCTTAGTCTTTTGCATCAAATATCAGTCACAAAATAAATGCAGGTAGAATGTTGAGACCATGATCAACTGGAAACCATCAGTTAACAACTATCTGAATTTTTATGTACTTTAAAGAAATTTCTGCTTAAAGTCTCATCAAGTTCATGCATTTTGAAGCATTTATTTCATTCTATATAAAAAAGTAATAACTAAAACAATACAGTAACAGGCATATTTAGTGTATGTGTCATTTTGTTTCGTTTTTCACTTTGTCATTTTTTAAATTTCATATGTGTATTTTTATGTTTCAAATGTTTATTTTTATTTGATTCAGTATTTCTATTAATATTTTGTAATATTTTATTACAAAATTTATTACAATAATTTTTATTACAATATTTTATTACAAATTTTATTATTATTATAATTTTTTTCTCATATAGTTGTTTTGGAGAAGCACTGTCTCCCTTGGTAAATATGATGCTAAAAACTATAATGCTTAATTAAATTAATCAGAATCATAAGCATAATCACACAGAAAAGATGTGGTCTGTGGAATAGCACTGACTAGTACAGTTTGGCTCTGTTAAGTGCTGAAAATAGAATGTGGTTTTGCAGAAAGTAGGTGAGAATTACTTGGATGACTTGTTGGTTGACAAACACAGACAACGGTTGAACAGATGCATGCAGTACTAGAACAAGTGACATCAAGATATTTCTTTCTATCATGCAAAAAACGGAACAAAAAAAAAACAGAGTTGAAATCTGACATTCTAACAGTGTATTTCTTTGCTTAACATTTTGTAAAAGACTTTTCAGTATTATTGTGTTTTTTTCCCCTCAGAGTATTGGATCACAATCCACTTAAAAGTGTCACCTGTGATACTTTCATCAGTATGAGGTCGCTGACATTTCTGTAAGTATCTTGCTGTTTAAAAAAATGTTATGGTCATTCTCCTTGTGGAATTTCATTTAATCAGCTTGTCCTTACTGTTATCTCTTTGAGGAAAATGTCAAATTTAATGAAGCTTGTCCCTATTTCTGATCCTACTGTCTGACATTTTTTATGAAGTTATAGTTTGGCATTACTGTCTTTTTTATTTTTCCTACTTTGTGTTTGCTTGTTTACTGTGCACTAAATCAATGCAATGGCACAATGCCCACAATGATTTGAAATGATTAGCAGTACTTTTGTGTTCGCTTGTCGGTTACAAGTCAACAGAAAGGCACCTTGTTGTTCAAGTAACAGCTAAAGCATTCTATGGCTCACTAACCCTGAAACAGCCAATTTTGTTTCTGCAACAAGACGCAACAAACTATCTCTGAGACAACTTTTTGATCTTTTCACCGTAACACAGAACTGTCTGTACCCACAAGATGGCAAAAACATTTTACATTTTATATTTCAACATGTGGGTTGCCTGAAGGCCATTGTGCAGCCATTTTTACAAGTAGTAGGAAATTCATTATCATAGTTCCTCATCAGAATGTCTTTAATATCGCTGAAAATGTCCTCTGGCTTCCAGTTCCACTGCTTTGCCAGAAATGACTAGAGTACAAAAATGAAATGTATTCCCATCACAACTCTTTTTGTTCATCTACCCCCCTCTCCTCACTGTTTTTATTTATAATTTTTCTTTTCCTCTTTTCCACCTCCCTTTATGATCACTTTCTTATGATTAATGTTCTATTCTGATTAATGTCTTCTTTTATGTGTTCTATAGACTCTGTCAAAACCTGTTTTCTGTGGGGCTATAGACATTTTGCTAAAAACAACAGCAAAAATACAGTGACTTTATTGTATTTTTACGGGGGGTTTTTGTCTTTCATCATGAGAATCCTTTACCTTTTACACACTTTTTAATGAATATAGCATAGATACTATACATAGAATATACATGGATTTGATTAATTTTATTCCTTCCCTTTATTTTTTTAAGTTTTTAGTAACATAATATAATAATACATTGACATAATATTCTCCAGGTTGTGCATCAGCCCTCTCACAATCATATATTTTTTCTTCTTTCTTTTCTTTTTACTCCATAAATCAAAAATATTCCTCATTTTATCTTTTTTTTTTTTCGCACAGTATTTCAAAGCAAACACCTGTGGCATGCAGACTGCACAGACTTTGTGGCCATGTTTGCACCATTACATGATTTGCACAATTCCTTTAGTGAACCGGGATCTAAACAAACTCAGAGACAGTGTACAGATGTTCATCTTTAGTCAACCCCCCCATAATTATCATTTTTTGTTTGTCCATCACAGCTCTATGAATAAATATATGGCATTATTTCACATTATATTATATGTCACTTTCAGCTTGTCAAGAATAATTGAATGACTAAATCATGTTTCATGAAGGTTTCATTTATGTTCCTCCACCTTAATAAAAACCAGAGTTTTCTCAGGGATGGCTAACTAGTAATAGAGATATTAAGCATCACTGCAAAGAACAGTCCCCTCTGAGATTACCTTTCATGAATGAATATATATATATATATATATATATATATATCTATCTATATCTGAAGTCATCCCAAAAGAGATTATATGCTTGCCTGGAATGTTTTCTCCAGTTCATTTCGCTTTGTGATTATGGTATAGCTAAAATGACGGTAGTATGTCTCTTGAATGGTTTCCAGCAGCCTGGCTCTGTTTGCAATTTAGCCACTATATGCACAAGCTTAGCTTGCGGGGTCTGTATTTACAGAAAATTATTCTTTGAGACCAATGATGCATTCATATTGGTGTAACACTCCGCACTCTGTACTAGACTGCTAAATAGACAGAAATGTAGAACAGAATAAGGTAGCACACATTAAAATAAATATGTGAGCTAAACAAAACCTTTTTTTTTGTGATTTGTTGTGAAACATATACTACTTTGTAAATTAGTTGTGCAGATGTCCACTGAATAACAAGCACTCCATTAGTCTTGCATTTATGAGTACAGAAAAATTTGTTGTCTAAATTTGCATAATAAGATGAATTATGTATTGCTTGTGTTTAAGTTTAATGTCTTATTTCCTGGTGTTTCGGACTAAATTGATGATGTCCTTTCATTTTTAAATGTTTTAAATTAGTTGATAATTAAGAACTCAATTTACAAGAACTAATTTCAAACACAATTTCCAGATAATTATGCTTGTAAAACAGAGAACACCTAATAGCACACAGTTAGTCTGGCAGAAAGCCTTGATTGCTTTTTCTCTGAAACTGATTCAGTCATGTGAGGAAGTGTTGCAGGGGGTTGTTACATTTCTGCAATAAAGACCGTCTCACTGTAACAGTTTGCACATCAAGACTGTGTTGCCATTTTACATTTTAGGTAGTTGATTTTAATTTTTGATTCATTTCAGGTCAATGGTAAACACGTCCCTGATGTGGCTGCCCGATTCAAGTCTCTGTCAACATATGCCCTTGCTCAGCTGGCTGTGAGTATCTCCTATTATTGACCCTTTTTTCACCTCATACATACACAAAGTATAGAATAAAATCATCCATACCCTTTTCTAATATGAACAACAGTGTACAAACAGAAGATCATCAGTATGAGTATGTGTTTCTGAGAGTGGTTTACGCTGTGCCAGTTAGTTGTCATCAGTTGTGTATGGGCCCTTTCTAAATATATGATGACATGACAAAAGAAAAAAAAGATTTCTTTTTCCATTTAATTCATAATGGTGTATTTTGAGGTTTATGTTATTTGAGGTACACACTAAAATATAAAGAATTTTGTTGAATTATGAGTAAAAAAGATCTAACATCACAGTTGAATTGGTTCAAATGGCTTTTAGATACCCATTCACTGTCGTGGACCGCATCAGAGGGTGAATTTATTTCTGGCACACATGCAACATGTTAAAGGCTCATTAGAGGAAATAAAAAGAGCTCTTGCTGGGTTTGCCTAAGGCATCACAGTAAGCCTACCTGTGATTAAATCAATATAATTCACTGAATGTTCTTGACACAACAAGCTAAACTTCCAGTGTTTGTGCATGATACTTCAATAGTGTTAAAGTTTTTAGTGTTAAATAGTGTTAAAGTCCATTTATTTCTGTACATGTGCATCTTGATTAGGGAGAGTAAAAATAAGGCCTTTATTTGGAAAGATTTGGTACTCTGAGAAGGTTTTTTTTTAATGCTGTCTCTATATCTTTGTATGCATGTATTTATTCCTGCATGCCCATTAGTTTATTAGTCATCAGGCTCTTTGGTTTATTTGAATAGGTCATTCTAAAGTCTCTAACACTTAGTGTGTGTGGTCTCTGAACTCCAGACAAATGATACCTCATCATAATCCTCTCTAGTGTTTTGAATTTAGAAAATCTCACTCAGTATAAATCATATCAGCACATCAGCGAAATTCCACAGCTGTCCAAGTAAAACCACTTAATATAGCTTAGGCTGCTGTCAGTGGTTACTTTGCTTAGATGAACCATGCAGAGAAGACCACTCTCAAAAGCTTTAAAGATGTGTTTGCTCAAATTTTATAGTCAACAATTACCTTAAAGCCTGATTTTTCTTGGACAGGACACCCACGGACTGCCCCCCCCAGGCCAAATTACTGACCGTCAGATGCATACTGCACACAAAACTGAAAAGCATTTTCTGTGTCTGGCAAGCTTTAATCTGATTGGCAGATTTTAAGCAGCTTCCTGGAGTAAGGGCACACATGGTTTATATCAGTCTACTTGGAAACAAAGTCATGTTTACGAGGTACCGGGTGATACAACGAGTGCTTTTGGGGATGAAATGATATCTAGATCTGCCAGTTTTTCAGGTTAGTGAGAACAAAACAAACTGTTTTCTTTTTTAACATGTCAGTCAAACACTTGTTTATAGCGCACAATAGGCCAGATTAAGCTGCTTGTGCTATTTAGCACAAGCAGGTCTGACTACATTGACTGTCACAAATCTTGAGTTAACAATAAAAACTCCTCTCAAAGTGCCTGTATCTTTGCCAAATGTGTCATTTGTGAATTTTCGGGCGTCTCTCCCTTCATAATGAGCACTTAGGACTCATTTTCACCTTTTCTGTGGACAGTTCACTCTGGTAATTATAGTCAGTGCAGAAAGAGACTGACAATGGACATCATTAGGTTCGCTGTGATTTCTGACGTTACCTATGCAAGCAGCTGAATCATGCTGCAATACTCTTGCCACTGAATGACAATTTGCCATCTGCTAGCCCAGCCTGACAGCTCTGAGATAAAAGCTATCAGCGGTACTAGCAAAGTCAGGCACCTCCTCTCGACAAGGTGCTCGCTGAATGAATGAACAATTTTGGCGTGGGCCTTCATGAGGCAAGCTTTATTCATGTCAAGCACCTGTGGCTCTTGATCAAATTGTTTTGTTGTTGTTGCAGGCAGAGCAGTGGGATGAGTTTTCCCAGTCGTCAGTGTACACGTCATCTTCCTCTCATGTCCTGAAGTCAGGATTTATACGTATTTTTAATTTACAGCTGTTTTTTCTTATCTTTCCTCGCAGGGACTTCGCTGAGAACCACGTTGAGTTGCTGAATTATTCCACTCTGAAGACCTGCACCGAGCTCACAGTGCTGTAAGTGTTTTCATTTGCATTTACCCTCAGCCACAATCCACTGTAACGTCTTATTAGTTGGTTTCATTGTTTTACATGATGGCTATACATATATTGATGCCAGCATCACAATTTAAAATTGCAACATGGCAGCGAGTTTGATTTAATAGTCAATTGAATTTAATGTGGTACAGATGTCTGTTTTAGTTTACAATGTCGGTTTTGGATCTCAGACATGTTTTTTTAATCCTCTGTATATCTCTAAAAGGAAATGCTTTTTCTTGGTTAGTCATCAGCATGTGAGTGTCTGCAAACTTTAGGGAGCCCTTTTACATTACTGTAAGGTTACAGTTAACAACAGAGTTGTTTAATTTTAATTACTATTTATTTTTAAATACAATAATCAACTCTCAAAAAATTGAATACAAACATGTAAATTGCACATAATGGAATTTTTAAATTAACTTGTAAATTACAAAAAAATTTATATTTGTTGTTAAAATATATTCATTTACACAGTGGCTGTCATAACTTGTTTCGTAACAGATTTATTTAAACACATTAAATAATTAAGACATCACTAACAGGTAAAGTAAAATATAATGAGTATATTAGATGATTACATGAGGCATGAGATGTTCATTCATGTTTTTTTCGCGTTAAAACTAGTATTAACAAGATCACGTTAACTCGCGCTAGAGGTCTGCGCGGGACTGTTTTTTTAGTCCCGCTCCCGCAAGGTTCTATTCCGCACCCACCCGCTCCTGCTATATATTCACTCTTTGTTCACCCGCTGTCCGCTTAGAATAATTTTCTTCCTGACCCGACCGTTCCCGCTAAATTTAGATCTCGTTTCCAAAATCTCACATTTAAATTTCCTCTACTGAAACAAAGAGAGATAGGCTGACAAATAAAAGTGTAGTCTGCACAAAATTGTATGTTATTTTATTCGTCTTGTCAAGAGTCTTGAATTTATTGACTTCGACTTGAATTTATATGAATTATCTTAAGACACAAAATTCGTTTAATATTTTATGCAACACAGTAGGAAAAAAGGTGTCAGACAAAATAAAAATGTTGTACAAAAATTGTATTTCTTATTTTTATTTGTCTTGTTAGGATACAATTTGTTTAACATTGACAACACAATAGGGAAAAAGTGTCGCAGAGAGAAAAAAAATAAAAATGTAGGTTGTACAAAAATAGCCTATTAGCTATTTTTATTGGTCTTGTGTCAGAAATACTAAATTCATTTGACATTTTTCTGTTAACACAGTAGGAAAAGTGACGCAGAGAAAAATAAATAAATATGACATCTTTCATTTAAAATTATAGGCTAAGCAAAATATAAACAAAACTGAGTTGATGGTCCTTCAAGGACAGCGCATCCACACTTTGCTCCATCCTTATTCTGCTCTGTCACTCATTGACAACCTGCCTGTTCTGTCTGAGGGCTGTATATTTACCACTGGTACAGCCTGCTCTGAGCATCGTTATGCACATGCTGTGCACAGACCACGCAAATAAAATGCGTGACGTTTAAAGCATGTGTGCAGCGCGTGCATCCTGAGCGCAAGCTGTACCGGTGGTCAAAAGCGCAGATATGCTGTTCTAAAATGGACATAATTTGAAAGATGATACTTTGAGATGATACTCACATAATTATACAGATATCAAACACTTATAAGTGCACGCTTTGGCAGAATTCAAACAATCGGCAGCAGCTATTCGGTAAAAAATAAGGATAAAAATGGACACATTTTTATTAGGGACTTGGCTGCAACTTTCTGTTTGTCCTGCCACTCACGTGAAGATGAATTGATGGATGTTCAGGCAAGAGGAATCACCCATACCGAGCAGCAATCATCTTCAGTTGCAGAAATGTGGCGAAACATCGCTGGAGAGAACCTCAGATTATTACATTTGAAAGTGTTCATATCAGAAATTCAGAATATATTTGCAAACGCACATTTTCTGCAGTGTCACACATTAAGTTACTATTCCATATGCGTCTTACAGACTGGTTTGCACTGATAATAATAAAATATAGAAAAATGCAATACTGTGTGTATGTGTGTATATATATATATACAGTGGGTACGGAAAGTATTCAGACCCCCTTAAATTTTTCACTCTTTGTTATATT